AGGAGGCCACAGCCTCCGAAAAAATAAAAAAGAATTGAAGGAAATAGGCTAAGTTAGAGAGAGAGGTTAGGAGGCCACAGTCTCCAATATGTTGTAGAGGTGGTGCAGGAACTAGGCGAGGTTAATTAAGGAGAGAGGTTAGGAGGCTGCAACATCCAAAGGTCTTTCCTTTATAGAGAGGACAGTGAACATGTTAAAAATGTGGTTTACTAAAAACGGAGGGGTTTTTGACGGAGGACCGTTTGGACGTCGGGCGGAGGAGATACTGCAAGGTTCATGGGAGCTTCACGAGGAAGGGGAAGGAACATCTGACAAAGAGGTACCATCTGTAGGATGGCGGCGGGTGGTAGGACTTAATTGAGGCGAATTGAGATGTACATCAGACAAGGGACAACAGGCACGATGCTTGTAGGAGGCGGTAGTGATCATTCGTCGTGTGATTCAAGTTTTTTTTCAGGCGGAAGGCCGGACCCACACTTCAATCAAAATCAATTGTCAACAGCAGCATGCTTGTCATAAGCGTCCTCTTGCAAAAAGGTTTGTTTGTTACTTTGGGTAATTCACTAGACAGAGATGTCTTCGTACGCCAAGTATTTAAGCAGCACCACCATTGCTTTACTACATTTAATTCCTGTTTCCACAATAAAGTTGAAATAATTCAGAAAGTTGATTCATTCCAACCATTTGCCTGAATGTTTTAAAATATGCACTAATCATATTTTCGCAGGACAGAAAACAGCGGGAAAAATGTGGAAAACTTCTGTTTTTTTACTGACGCTGTGGCTGCTCACGTCGCTCATTCTTTGCGTGGTGTACAGCACCAACCTCTTGGCGACGCTAGTCCTACCTAGAGTCAGCATACCTTTCGATTCATTGCAAGGACTCCTTGAACAGAACGAAGTGCTCTTGCACATGTCAGTGTCTTCGATTTTCAGGCAAGCTCTTGAGGTGAGACCAATATCCGTTAAAGGTGAATATATAATCTTTAATTATTTAACACGTAGGTTATTTTTATTATTACAAATATTTGAACTTAATGTAATCTCGGAAGCGATAGTTGTTTTATCGCGACGTCAGATAGCTACGATGCCAAACATACGCGATCAGCGCCCAGACAGAGCTTCTGTTCAGCGTCGGGATAGATATTTATTTATTGTAATGTAAATTTATAAACAATTTTAATAAACTATATTTCTAATATTGGTTGATTTGGTTGAATGAAAAAGAATACATTTAGCCGTAACCGACAGTTAAAGTTGAAACTTTCGCAGTTAAGTTAAAGTAAAATTAACTGTATTCGGTTGAATACATCTAACAAGGTGGCTGTGTCATGGTTCTGCCATACATCCGAGGCAATTCGCCAATTCTTCAGTAATGCCCTTTCATTGAAGAATGTACAAGCAAAATTAATTTCAAATTGAAGTTTCATTTTCACTGACTTTAGTTGCTAACTTCAACCGAAGATTAGTCCGTTATAATAAAATTAGGAAGACCAGTAAGGTAGCGCAAGATCGTGATGTGAGACGATGTTGTGCACTGCAGAGATGGAATGTAACATTGGTTGCTTATTGCCTCCACAACAATATGAGCTCTCAGTTGTTTACCTGTCCAAATTTGTTGAAATTCTACAATTAATCTTAAAACGAGACAAACTTCAGATTTAGGAAGTGCAAACCAAACATAAATTAGGGCATGGGAGACTTACATGCTGATGCTCATCGGAACTTCCCGTCATAACACGCGTTCAAAAGTTCTTCAGAGCGATGCACGACCAATTGACCATATATCTTCGCTCAATCACTAACAATTGAGAATAGATCTTGTCACGTGTCTTGGGTTGCATCTTCATAAACGTTTGTAAACTCCTTGCTAGTGCTTCTGTGGTCTACTTATTTCCGGGACTAGAATGCCGAGAGTTCCTAAATTGATCGAAATTGGCAAGGCGACAGATTAAAATTGTTTTAATTTTATTTAATGTGTTCCAGGATGCCGAGCCAGGAACTTTGCTCAACAAACTCAACAAGAAAGTCGGTGGTTATGAAACTGATGCTTCGAAGATCACGCAAGACGTAATAGAGGGGAAATACGCGTTCATAACTCTTCGTAACGCCCTCTTGGGCACCATGAACGACCTATTTTCAAAGGTGAGAGCAATTCACGCGAAAATAACGCGACATTCTCTGAGTTTTACTATGAATTTGAAATAATTTGTAGAGAAGCAGATGATTGAGCAGCAAAAGTAAAGACTCCGACATAAGTGGAAGAAATATACGGTGCAGCAAATAGAGGGCAATCGGAATACCATTCAAAATTTGGGTAATAAAATGTTGGGATAACAGACGTTTAATATGATTTCAAAAAATGTCTGCTTGGTAGTGCAAAATGATAAATACCCTTCACCCCAGACAGGTAAATGTGGCATTCAAGTGACGACGGAGACATCTGTGCCGGTGACTCTTTCCTACATGTTCGCTAAGGAGCTTCGCATCAAGACGGACTTTGACCGGGTGTACGTTGATATATAAATTATATAATACAGAACTCTTAGTTCTATAGAACTGCAGCCATACCCTTTACTGCACCACTAACAACAGCACTGCTGTCCTCTACTGCGCTGCAAACAAAGAAAAATTCCCAAAAACAGAAGTGACGGGCGGATTCAACACGCAAATAAGACGTTCAAAGTGCGCTCATTCCCTCATGATAACTCCTCAATTTCTGCCATACTTTCCTCAAAATTTACCGGTGGAACCATCCAAGTCAGCATCCCATTATCCATAAAACCCTGAGAAAATGTGATTCGTACTGAACGGCTATTTTCATACTGAAAGAAGCGTCTTCCATTTTCCTACTATTATCCAAACCTTCACGCGCAGGATATCCAGGCTACGAGAGTCGGGAATTTTGAACAAGGTGCTAAATGACAAACTCAGCAACGTGACCGTTTGTCTTAAGCCCGGCGCCCGCGTCAGGGGGGAGAGGGGGGAACGAGCGTTGGAAATAGCGGACTTCTACGGCCTCTTCATGGTATACGCGGCGGGTGAGGCGTTAAACTTTACCACAATCGTTTTTTTGTGTCGTCCCAGTACTGACAATTCAATGTATCCAGAATCATAAAAGGAAAATGAAGGTAGACGAAAATATCATTCCTACGTATCATCTTGTGATTTAATAGATTCTCTATAGAATATGTACAAAAGGATCCCAACAATTAGGCCCAACGCAACAGACGCATCATTTTGACTTTAGTCTGCTTGAGCAGGGATTATTGTTTCGACTTCGGTATTTGTTGGCGAGCAAATACTGAACAAACTGTCCCGTCCTTCATCTCATCCAACGCAAGAACCAAGGCGGGGCCAACCATCATCTCCTGTTGTGCTCGAGCGGCAGTGAGGTGTCTGGCGATGGTGGGCACCGACGCTGAGGTGCTAACGAGACCTGCAGCGACCCAGGAATTTGCAGCGACCCAGGGACTTGCAGCGACCCAGGGACTTACAGCGATCCAGGGACTTACAGCGACCCAGGGACTTGCAGCGACCCAGGGACTTACAGCGATCCAGGGACTTACAGCGACCCAGGGACTTGCAGCGACCCAGGGACTTGCAGCGACCCAGGGACTTGCAGCGACCGAGGGACTTACAGCGACCCAGGGACTTGCAGCGACCCAGGGACTTGCAGCGAATAATCGACCCTACTGGTTGTGGGTAGAATCCTGTTTCCCTTGAGGCTCCCCCAGTTTATTTCCGAGCGATAGTTTCTCTTTTCCAGACCGATAATGTTACTGTCAGATTTCTTAGCCAGCAATTAATAAAATGAGGACATAGGAACAAAGATGAGTGCAATTTTTATATTTTAGCTATTTGACATTTGTTTCATCGTCAAGCAAGCAATTAATTGATCAATGGGCGTAAATATTAAGTTATTGGCAAACAAAATTTACGCCGACCAACTAAAAAATTTATGATCTGCGACAGTGCAAACACACTCCCTTCAATTCAGTGTCAGATGAATAGAGCGTCGGAATGAGATCCCTAATATTGCTTCTTCAATATTACCGATACCCAGGTAAGGTTTCAATTAGAATTAAATTTCTTCGTAATACGGAAAGCACAAAAATTCTTTATTAACATGATGGACGCGTATAGAACATATATACAAGCAAATTTTATGTGTTATACATCAGTCAGACTTGCTTGGAGACAAATTGTGTTGATGCCCAGAAGCCACTACAAACAAATTATCTTTTGCAAAAGTAAAATAATAACAAGCACAGAAGTAGTTTAAGTGAATAATAGATCAATGCAAGTGAAACAATAAGTTTAAGTATAATAAATGTACAAGTAAGCAGTTTAATAGAACTCTAATAGACCAGCAGGTAATCCAGCTACATCATGTTACAGACCAGCAAACGTCTTATTTCACCTGAAATGGAGCTAATACTAGAAACAAAACATCGTGTGCAATCCTGTTCATTATAGAACTACAGCACCTTCTTTTCCTGTTGCAAAAACAACACTCGTTTAACAGAGGAAACTGGTAAGTACTAATTTGAATAAAAACTACAACAAATACATATTCATATTTTCAGGACTCAGCTTTGATCATTACAAGGATAAATTTTGTCCTACATAAGATCAACGCCTCTATGTTGTCCGACAACACTATTTTTTTCAAACGTTAATATCATTTTCCGACATTATTGCAGAAATGTACTGTACATTGTTACGACCAAAAGGCAGCTTTAAGTGGGATACTAATTGTTATACTATACAATATTATATACAAAGTAGACTAACTCCTGATGTTGCTGCTAGAGACAAGACAATCTACTTGTGTTCCTTCAAGCTCGTGCAGGTCTAACTACGTTCATTTTAATGCGATTTCACGACGCCAAAGTCAATTTAAATTACATAAAGCCTCAAAGATGTAATTTAATACAATTTTCAAGCTGTGGAATGGATGGGCTTAGTATCGAAATACACGACGCCAAAGTCAATTTAAAAAACATAAAGCCTCAAAGATGTAATTTAATACAATTTTCAAGCTGTGGAATGGATGGGCTTAGTATCGAAATCTTCAGTAGACGATGACTAATATCCTTATAAATTTATTAATTGTTTCCTGTATTTGAGCCGTGGGCGCTTGTTTCCTGTTGTGATATTGTTTTCATAGTTGACAATTTTATGCACCAATTGAATGTTGACTGTATTGAACAATAAATGTACAGAAACTCAGCAGTACTGTAACATCAAAAATAATTCCAATTCTCCATACAAATAAAGCAAACATTAGAGCACCACGGATACACTTGGGTGTAGCTCATGAACAAAAATTATATTAAAATAAAAATTCCAATTTTGGCAGTAAGGCCAATAATAAAATGAAACCATGCTTGAAAACATAAACTTGTAAACACTTATGGACGAAAAAATGGAATTCCAAAAATATGACTGGAGATATACTGGAGAAATACCTATATTATACAGCGCTCGTTCCAACCGAGCCGACTCGTTCTAAACCGACATCATTTTCTAAAACTGACTAGAACTTTCACACGCTACCAGTGTAAACTAGGAAGATGAAAAGCCATTGACATTGTATATTCCATTGGTAGATTCAGCCAGCAAAGCTCCTTTCCAAGAGTAACTCGAATTGGTGGATTCTGAAGTATTTGAATTTTCTTCATCTAAAACTTCAATTGGACAACCCACGGGTCGCTTTGATTTACTGGATAATCTGATGGACGTGGCTGAATCGATTTCTGTAGCTATACCAGAATTGGAATTAGCAACAGCAGATGGATGAGTCTCAGTAACAGCAGCAGTTGCATCGCATGGCAGCGGGGCGCCATGTCGCAGTTTCCTGCCGCCGTCCCAGTCCCGGGCCCCTCGGAGGGCGGCCTGGATGTAGCCGACGAGCACCTCCCTGGTCTCCGTCATCTTCAGGTCCGCGGCACCGGCTGATGGGTTGTGTACATGAATAAATATGTTGCAAGAGATAAGATCTGGATTCACGCTAGCTAGATAGAAATATCAAAAATGAAACGTAATAAAGCCAGCCTTGAAATTTTTATATCCTTCACGCAAGCTAGATGGGAAATATCAAAAATGAAACATAACACAGATAGCCTTGAAATTTTTATATTCTTCATAGACAATAACACAGATAAAATGAATTTAATTGAGAATTCATTATGCAAAATAGCAATATTTAATTCAATAATTGCATGATTATAATTTATTTAGGGTCATTGCATCCAGCTTATAGGATTTTCTGATGTTCCATAACAGTAAAACGAGTAAAATATATTATTATTATTATATAAGTCACTAACTCATCACTTACTCACGTCACTAACTCGTCCCAAACTTACAATTACGATGAAACAACCGGCTGAACCGCAACATAACACTATAAAATTCATTTATTAATAAAAAACTCGGAATAACAAAACACAAACTATTTTGAATCTATCATTCGAAAATGATGGATTCAAGATAAAGCATAAACTTCCGAAATTTATACTCACCAAGAATGCGATTGCACAATGGGTGGTTGCCGAAGGCCTGCTTGGTTGCCAGCCTCTTGACACTGAGGCCTGAGAAGCTGAAGAGCATCGCCACATCTCGCGTCATGCAGCGCTTCAGCACTCGCCTCATCGTCATCTTAGAGTTGCATCCGATGTACGGTTGAAGCTTTTTGATCTGAAACGCTATACCACATTAACAATTCAACCTTAAAAAAAATATAACTCAGTACTCACTGCAGTGAGTGACAGAGAGCACATTTTCTCGTCGACGAAAACTTGAGGTCACGGACAGACAGACGGACGCACAGACAGACGGACGGACAGACAGACGGACAAGGCGAGCACAATAGTGCATTTTTTCCATAAATGAGAAAATGCGCTAAAAATGCTATGGTAACTCGAATTGGTGGATTCGGAAGGAATTGGATTTTCTTGACCTAAATCTTAAATTGGAAAAACAATGGATTGCTTTGATTTACTGGATAATCTAACGGACGTGGCAGAATCGGATTATCCATAATTTTAGCAGTGAGGCCCAAAATAAAATGAAACCATGCTTCAAGACATGAACTTGAAAACACCTAGGGACACTGACCGAAAAAATGGAATTCCAAATAAAATATTTCACTGAAAATTTTATCGATGTTGCTGCTGAAACAATCATTAAACATTCATTCAAGTTTAAAATTGGAGACTGGAGATTAAGATAATATTTAGCAAATAAATCAATTTTTACTTCACCAATGACTTAAAATTATTAATATGAATATCATGCTCGAAATCATGCCAGCCTAAATTTAGTAAACAACAAGATTATGAGGATAAAATCTGTAAAAAAGTATATAAAATGAACCATTTTATCTGCCTCATAAAAACTCCGCAGCAAGACACCCACCAGATGAGGATCCTTGGCCAGGCTATCAAGCTCTGACAAGGAAGCGGCTGGTTTCTTCAGGACTTGAGTAGCGGCAGCGGACTTGTTTTCAGCCATGAGAATCAGCTTATCAATTTTTGATTCCATTGTATCAAGCCTCGCATTCATTCTATCTTCAATACTTTCTAACTTTGTGGTGAGCCATTCCATCTTCGAGTCGATGCATTTCATCCAGTCTTCGTTGATGGACTCATATCTATCAATATAAGTAAAGAGATAAAGATAATTTGAGAAGACACTCGTCAAATCATCGGATAAATTTTGAGCAAAACATGTAGACTGTGGAAGGCAGCTCAAATAATGGAAAACTAAGCCCATTGTAAGGATATACAAAAGCCATTGCTAGCCCTCTGCTGCAGACATACAGTATTACTGGTCGTCAATACTATTCATACGTAAAGGGATTCATGTCCAACAAAGCACGATCAAGATGTTATCACATTACTTTGTATCTTGTTATTCGGGAATACCTATTTTAAAAACCCACATATAAATTTTTGAACCAAAATTCAAGCTTTAATGGTAAAAAATTATTGGCTAATTATAAACAAACAATTATAATTAAAATTTATTCAAATTTAAATATTGTTTCAAAATAATTTGGAGAGTAAGATAATATTAAGTGTATAAATCAATTTTTACTCACCATTGACTTAAAATTATTCCACATTCACAAACCAGCCTACAAGATGATCTGCATCACTACCGTCTTGACTGCAAGAAATCTGGCACTTGGTAATCATCAGCAGTCACAACCATTGTACATGTTAATTTTCGTGATTGAATGCATTCATAATACACTGAAACAAAGGGGAAAATCAAGTAATAATTTACAAAGCAATCAACATACTGTTGAGCAGGACATCTTCTTGCTCCTGAGGGCCCTGAGGTGGTGGGAGTCGAGACATGCACGGAGGGCTGGGCAGCTGCAGCATCAGCAGTGGCTGAGGCCTCAGGCACTAACTTCTTCTCAATCTCCTCGTTATTACCTGAAATATCAAGAAAAGTAAAAGTTTCTACTCTTATTCTGTGAATTTCAGCTTTATTCTCTTGCAACCAAGCTTATTTAGCAAAAATCCAGAGGAAATATATACCTATATACTATCATTAGGCAATATAAATAAGACTATACCTGATGATGACGTATAAAAAGATACAAGAGTCAACAAATTCTGAACATAAGGTTGAACTTAAAATTAAATTTCACTGCAATGGTGAAGGAATTTAATGTGATTAGAAACAGATTAAGATTTTCCTACAAATTTTGAGATTGACTAATTATGAATAGTGTTAGGGATCAAATGGATAACAATATTGCAAAAAACTGTGTGACTTAGAATTTCCAAATACATAATATGTAACCAAGGTTACATAATGATGGACATTGGACAACCAATTAATTACATTGATTTTGTAATTCCTGATTTTTGCTAAACTAGCAGGTTCTAAAAGTTTGTAAGTCCCCAACCAGCCAAGCGCAACCTCTTCTTGTCAGGTTGCAAGTCCAAGTCAGGCCGGAGAGTCCGATACGGCGGCGGGCTAAAGTCTGGCAGAGGCTGAGGTGCAGCGCCCTCCTCAGGCCGAAGAGTCTGATACGGTGGTGGGCTGAAGTCTTGCAGGGGCAGAGGTGTAGCGCCCTCTTCAGGTCGAGGAGTCCGATGTGATGGCGCACTGAATTCTGGCAGAGGCAGAGGAGTGGCGGCATCAGCGGCAAGCTCGTCCTCGGAAGACGAAGACCAGTCCGAAAGCATCATGCCTTCCACCACAGAAAAATCATCTGTAGGACCAATATTTGTCATTATATACAAAAATTTTAATTGTACTGCCTAAAGCAATTACAAATAGGCATGGGCATAAATAAAAAAGTATTAAAATACAAGTACATTAAAACCGTATTATTAGCAAGGTGAGAAAGACTCGTGGTTTAGGTCAGAAATGCAAAGTTCAAACTGTCTTCTTGCTTGGAGTGGATCAGGATTCAGCTCTGTATTGAACATTTAGCTCTTTATAACAATGTGAAAAATATTAGTGCATAATACCAATCCCAAATTGGTATAACTATTCCCATCAAAACAGTTAGGCAGCTCTTGCCACCAAATTCAAGTTTCACCGAATGACATGTAAGGAAACCAGTAGACAGAACCTTAAGCAGAGAAACTATAACATTAAATCTTCAGCATTTATGTACATAGATATATCACAATAAATTTAATTGGATTTTCAAATTTATAAACATTTACCCAAAATTGCACAAGGAATACACTGCACATAGGAAGAAAACCTCATTTCTGCAAAACCTAATCTAATTAGGAATCATTTGAACCACATCTCCCCAGTCTTCACAAGCTGCAACACCCATAACTAAAATAACTTACATCAACAGTAAATTATATATTACGGTGACTTGGGAAATAACTTTTTATTAATTCCATGCAACTTGATTTTTTATAACTTGAATATGATTCTTATTATGTTATATGCTGTTGCTAATCTGGTCAGGTCAAATATTAAAAAAACTGATGAAGATTTGGTTTATTTCATAGAGAAGCCAGCTATGAAAACTGAATTTAAATTTTAATACAATAAGGCATCAGGATTGCAAAAAAAGGGGGTTTTCAAATTGCCCAACCCACCCAGGTTTTATTAAAAAAACCTGGGCAAAATGAATAATATGTGTTTCATTACTTTATTTCACTTCTATCATTCATACTCATCATCAAAATAGGTCTTGATTGAATGCAGATCAAGTNTATTGATGCATTCTTAAGTTTTCTATAAAACCCATTATTACTTCAAGTTTTTCACGTTAAAAACCCAGCCAGGATGGCGGGTGGCAAGGTGGGTAGGTGGGCAGCTGCTCTAACCCGGGCTAATTTGGAAATGGAAAAAGTCCTATGTTTTTCTGAAATATTGCAGCTTTAATATCATATAATTTCAGTAGGTATGAAATCTTGTAGCTCAAATGCCATGTTTTTTTCTTGAAGAAATCACAGTTCACAAACATGTCATCTCATGAAATTTTAACTTCTGCATCCACAGTACTTATTACACGGCTCCTGCCAAATATCCTGCATAACAATTAATGAGTCAATCCAAATGTTTTGTTGGAGATTGCATAGTTACAGTCACGTCAGTGAAGTCAGACTGCATTATAACATGTTCACTTGTCTCTAAAGTAAAGATCCATTAAACTACAACTCAAAAAATATAGTTGCAGTTCACAGAGTACGGTAGATATTTTCCTCACTAGTACCCAGGCAGGCACCCAGTGCAGTGCAACCCAGTAAGTGTAAGGCAATACACAGGGTTTGTACCTGTATTTACAAAAAAATTCCATGATTTTTCCATGACTCTCCATGACCATCAATATAATTTTCTATGACTCGTATATGACAGGTTTAGCATGACTGCACAAATAACTGTGCATATTCTATCATCTCCTACAGTTGATAAATAGGAAATGTGTAAATGCTTAGCTCTTCATGGCTTTTCAAAGCTGCTTGCCCCATGTTTGACACATCAAAGTCTTTGGAGCACAATGTGCATATCTCCATACCCTCATGCTTTGGATGGTGAGCAAGACAGTCACAATATTAATAAGCTTCTATTCTTAACCACAAATCATGAAATTTACACTTTCCAGCCTCCAGAAATGATGATGTAGAAATTGCATGCTGAAGATGGAATTGGAATGCCGCCACTGCACATCAAAAAGTTATCCAATGCAACTGAGCTTGGTGAATGAGCTCACATGATCGGAGAACCAATCAGAACACACTCAACACAGGAAACCAAACAACTGAAACAAGAGACTGCACTGTCTGCACAAACAGTAAAGTGAGTAAACACATGCAGCACAGGAAAGATCTTTATTTTTTCCTTCTTTTATTTGCAAATTCCATGACTTTCCATAACCTGAAATGAAATCCAATGACTTTCCAGGCCTGGAAAATAAAAAAATCAAATTCCATGACTTTCCAGATTTTCCATAATTCCATGACCAGTACAAACCCTGCTGTCCCTGCATAGTGCATACCTACAAATAAAACAAGTTTTCAAGTGTCACCTTCATTCTAAAATGAATAATTCACTATGCATGCAGCATTTATTTGATAAAATAACTTGGTTGTATTTTTTTGTGTGCATTATAACTTTATAAGTAATAAGTATACAATATGAATCCTCCAGCTCCATAGACTGGTTCTAATTTTCAAATAGCAACACTCACCAGAAGTTGCAGCAACTTGCGCTATTGGCCATTTCTTCCAGTGGTTCTTATCAGGAAGGCATTTTTGCTGGGCCAGCTTGATTGGATTTCCTTCACCAGGCCAGTAAGCAAACAAACAAGTTGAGTTCCTGAAAATCCAGCTCCGTGGAACAACTGCCCAATTCTCATTATTGAAATAAACTCCAACAAAGTTCTTGAACTGCTTTCGATTCATGCTCTTCAATTCAATAAAAACCTAAGAAACTATTAACAAATACAAACAAATGTAACTGTAACACGAAAGCTTACATTATACATAGCGCCCTAGCGGTCACGAAGCAGCCTTGCAGCTGCAGCCTTGCAGGCACAGCAGCCAGCAGGTGCTTATTTAAACTGTAAACAACACATGAAACTGGTTAGCCTTTGAGCAATTGAGGGTTTGATTGCTTGGAATTATTAAATTGTACAGTATAATAAGTAATTATTATCATTTTTTTCAATTATTCAAATGGGATATCATGTCGACCCGACGACCCCGAAATCCGACAGAGGTGGCAATGGCACCACGTGTGCTCGCAAACTTTGTTAAAAATACACAAAAATTTATGATCCTTCTACAAAAGTAACAAAGAAAGAACATCAAAATATCATTAGAAGTTAATCTAAAAATTTTAAGGCTTGGTCACTGGTCAGGCCTGTTTGCTGCATGTCACGCACGGGAGGACAACGAGGCACAACCAAACACGAACCTGCTGCTTTTTAGACTCCAGGGAGGTAGGGGTGACCACAGCCAACTGTACCCCCATTTACGCGGGACTTCTCTATCTTCCTAAGCAGAATCGTTTCTCCAGAGCACCAAATCCAAGAGTGCTCGCTGTGTTGAGACTTGAGATGGTGATGGGAAAGTGAAGAAACAGATTGTGATGGGAGAGCACTTGTATTTTTTATGAGTAAAACTATTTGTTAGACATTATTTAGCATAGCCCGTATATACGTAATTCTTGTGAATGAGGTTAAAAGGTATGAATGCCCCAGGAATTGAACACGAGCAGGAGATTTTAACGGATAAATATGAAAAGTTTCATTCGAATCTCTTTAATGGTTTCCCGAGGCTTTTTCTGATATGAATGATGAGACGGCTAAGGTAAAGGGCCCATATACTATCTTTATTTCCACGGTACCGTCAAATATGAATACCTTGTGTATTGCTCCTTTTTGTAAAAAAATTGTGTCCCTAATATCTACGTAGTATTCATACTCATTACCTCTGCCACATATGATCTTGTTTTGCTGAATCGTTCGATTTATCATTAATTAGTTTATTAGCAGACAGCGTTAATCGTTCAACCTCTCCCTTAATGAATTATTAACTCACAGTTGTTATATGCCTGCTTAAGTAAAATCTAAAGGCTTTATCTATAAATGTAGCGGTAGCACTGTAGCGGCAAAACCTCGTATCGCTACTTAAATATGTAGCGGGCGGCCGCTACCGCTACCGCTACATTGCCTTAAATGCAGCGCCGCTACCGCTACCGCTACATGTAGCGCGCTACTGCCCACCTCTGTTAATTACTTACTACGTACTCACCTACTGCATGCGCATGTAGCACACGTTACATGATGGTCTTTGAATGACTGCTGTGCATTTTTAGTTGACTGCTGTGTAATAAAATTTCATGGATGTTTCATCAATATTTTATTCATTATCTATTTTTGGTTGCAGCATGCACATGAATGTTTTTCGAATCAAAATCAATCGATGACGTGCATACTAAAGCGTATACTTTAGGTGAGAAATATGATCATTCGAGTTTGTCTTATGACACGATTTGAGGTTTTCGAAAACAGATTCAATTATTAATATATACATAACATCCCTTTGCGCTTATCTACAAATGTGATTTTATTCATGGAAGACATATTTTTATATTCAAATTTCTTTGTGGAAGTCATTCCGTTTGAATCACTGTTTAGTGTTTAACAAAGTTCAACTGTTTCACCGATACTTTGGCAAGGAAAGCTACATTACCTAAAAATATCTTTATAAACTTCAAACTTTGATTAAGTCCAATTTTAGATATACTCATATGATTAAATATTTTAGAACAGCATGAGCAGGAAAGTGTAACTTATTAGCAACGTTACGGAAGTACGAAGATCCAAATAAAATACTTGAAAAAAAAACACGTTTTTCTTGTGGACTGAAAAGTAGAAAATAAATTATGGCTC